CACTATTCCTATAGAGGTACAAAAGAAAGATTCTCCAATGATTAAAAATAAATCTTTCACAGGTTCCATTTCAAAAAATATTTACCATCAAATTCATTCCTTTGAGGACCTCAACCGGGGAAAAAATATTATTTCGTGTGATGATATTCTGAAATTGAAAGGGTTAAGAATCGCTTCTAGGTATCCGCTGTGCTTGATGGCGGAGGAGTCCATTGAACATATCTTTTTCTTATGTCATTTTTCCTTGAATGTTTGGAGGGGGGAGGCCTATGGTTGGGTCTCGGTCCTAAACCTGAAGGGATCTAATTACTTCTTGCGAGCTATTTAATCCGGACCGCAAGAGAAATCATATATTGCAAATATATCCATTTATAATTTGTTGGTTCATAGATGGCTCGTAATACTAGGAAACATGAAGGTGAGGATATTAAGGGGGAAAATGTGATGTCCAATATCATTGCATATATACACAGTATCTTTAAGATGTCCCCGGTGAAGGGCAACTTCTTTTCAGGTATTCCTTACTTTTATGCCTTGGGGTCCTCTTCTTCTCTTGGGGATAGGATTCCGCGACTCCCTCTACTGGTGAGATGGTGGCCTCCCCCTAGTGGCTGGGTGAAATTTAATACGGATGGGAATTGGAAAATTGATAATGCTGGTATTGCAGGTGTTGCTAGGGATGAGGGTGGCAAATGTCTTCTTTTCTTCTCTTCCCCTTCTGTGACTATATCTCCTCTAGAATCCGAAGTTTAGCCAACGTTCATAGCAGCCTCGGTTGCTATCCGGATTGGTTGGCATCAGATTTTGATTGAATCTGATTGTAGGGTTCTTATCGACATATTTAATGGAACAGAGAAGTGTCGTGGGAAATCTTATGTTATATTAAGCGAATTAATTGCATCTCCTCTGCCATTTTGATTCGTTGGAGCTTCATTCATAGAGAGGGTAATAGTTCGGCAAATTGGCTAGCCATTGCTGGGGCCACGGAGCCACTGGTAGTAATATCGTGGTGGGGACTACTCCACCTCGAGCTTTAGATACCCTGTTGGTTGGGGACCTGCTAGATAGCCCATTTGTCCGGGCTTAGGGGTTGGCTGAGCTACAGTTTTTTTGGTAATCTTGTTTTTTATTTGTGAGGTTGATGCTCGGTGTGGTGATCTCAGTGGTAAGGAAATTCTAGGGTGAGGCTATGCGATATTGACCTTATCTGAAATTGGTCTTAGTTGTTCTTCTTTTAATCTGTTAGATATTGGCCACCCAGTACGTTGGTGTAGGATGGATACTTTTGTTTTTGCCATGAAGGTATCTCGATTATTCTTGTTTTGCAGATTTGGTTTCAGGGTTGGTGCAGGTTACTATTTTTGGGGAGCTGGATCTTCTCGCCTCGGATGCGTACTGGTTCAGAACCTCGTCGCTTGCTGAAGATCAATGATTTAAAGAGACGCTCTTTTTTTAGTGCACCCCTTTTTTTGGCTTCAGTTGTCATGTTGCTCTCCGAGATATAGTTTCTTTTGGAGTATACAGTCATTTTTTGCTTATTGTTATACTCTTTTCATCCTGTTGGGTTGAATTGTACTGTGGTAGACGAACCCTCTATTAGTGTATAATGTATTTATTTTCTTTCCGGGATCCTCTCCCTAATATTTTGTTGTACTCAATTTTAATGATTAACACATAGGGAGTCGAATAACGCTTCTTCCCTTAAATACACACACACACACACACAGATATATATATA